AATTCAATTGATCAAATATTTTCATCAATTATTAATAACATTAATATTATGATTAATATATTAAAATATTTTTATATATCAGTAATTCAATTGATAAAATATTTTCATCAATTATTAATAATATTAATATATTAATAATAAAAATTATAATAATAATAATAATAATAATAATATAATTATTAATATATTATAATTAAATATATTAAAATATTTTTATATTTTAATATTCTTATAATACTTTAATATTGAAATATTTGTTTTTAACATATATTATTGTTTATTACCAAGATCATAAAATTTTATTTTTTGTTTTATCATTTTTGTACGCAAAAATCTTCCTCTTTCTTATTCTATCAGTGTGCGTGACATTTCGGTAAATTTTAATGATACCTTTTACTTTAATAATCTCTTTTATTATCCTTCGTTTTATTACTTTTCTAATTCTTTTTTCTACTCCTCTTACGAACGACAGAGCACAAGCCGTCATATTATCGGTCATTTGACAAATCTTTTATACAAACATTCTAACCATTCAAACATTTGCAAAATTTTAACGAATATTATTATCTACGTTATATGTATATTTTTTGCAAATAATTTCTTCATTTCTTCTTTTTTTTTTTTTTTTTGTCAATTCAGTTGCTCATTTTATTAAATATCTGAAATTTGATAATATCATTAAATATTAATTGTAAATTTACCGATGCTTTCAACCAGAAATACGATGATAAATTAATATCGTATTTTAATAATAATAATAATAATAATAATAATAATAATAATAATAATAATAATAATGATGAAATATAAGTCATATAAACAAATATATCAATTGGTATAAGATTATTTTATATTATTATGATATAATTAACATATTGTTATTATATTACATTGATATAATTAATTTATATATATATATATATATGTATAATTGAAAAAATATCTCATTAATAAATTATTCATGTATAAATTTTCAAATGATAAGAAATATTACATTTATACACGTATTTTAATTATTTCTTTTCATATAAAACATATTTGAACACATGCTACTGCAATGATATCTTTTATATCTATATAAATTCATTTTTATGTTATTCATATATATATAAAAATCATTAAAGGAACAAAGTTATGCACCATTTTTTACAAAGTATTATTTACAGTGTCAAGAAATCGTTTTATATAATTATTTTATCGAAGATTATCAATAATAAACATTTCTTTTGTCCTACAAAGATAATAATCATCTCCAACCACATATTATCTAATTTTTTTCTTTTCTTATTTTATTCTCAAATCAAATACAAATCGATTTCTTACGACTGCAATAATAAAAATTTTTTTTCTGTTTTTTTTTTTTTTTTTTTTTTTTTCTATAAATTCTTCACGTATCTCTGTAATTTAAACAATATCGATGATTCAATAATATTTTTTTTTTAGAAACAATAATGATACTACTAACATTGATAAATATGTATAAAAAAAATAAAAAAATAATGAAAGAAACGAGAAATAAATTAAAACAAAAAAAAAAAAGAAAAAGAAGATTAATATAATAATATTTATTTGAACAACTTATAAGGATTGTAACAGCTATCTAAGCATGTGACTCCGTGGCGCAACGGTAGCGCGTCTGACTCCAGATCAGAAGGTTGCGTGTTCAAATCACGTCGGGGTCAAGTGAATTAAATTTTTTTTTTTTTCTTATATCAAAATTGACAAGAAAAATGCAATAAAAATATATTATAAAAAATCAATATAATTTTTTTTCTATTTTTATATCTAATGCAAAATAACATATATATATATATATATAAAATAAAATAAAGTGTTAATTGAAATAGCACGTATATACATCGTGCATGTAAATTTTCTCTTTTTTTTTTTTACTTTTGATATTTACAATTAAAAAAAAAAAAGAAAGCAACATGGTATAAGACCAAGAAAAAAGTATATAAAAATAAAATAAAATTAAATTAAATTAAAAAAAAAAAAAGAAATATTTCTACTCTTATGCGTACTTAATCAAATGTAATAATCAATTACATAATTTTGTGTTACAAGGTAATTATGATAATAAAATTCTTGACGCGATTGGTCGTGATAGAAAAAAATCAATATAAAAAAAAAAAAAAAAACAAGAAAAAAAAATATATTGAAACATTTTTTAAAGAAATACCGCGATCTTTTTTTTTTTCTTTTGAATATATTTACACATAGAATATTTATACCTTTTATTTAAAATATTCTGCATTTATTTTTTTTTTTTATGTCTTTTTTTTTTTTAATCAAGTTTTATTATTTTATCTTTTTTTTAAATATTTTTTATATTTATTATTATTATTGCATACCGTGCATCACAGACTTGATTTTGTTTGTACCAACAGACGGAGATCTATGACAAAAAGGTTTGTATTACGATAAGGAACACTGAATGCATCATCATCATCATCATCAATTTTCTTTTCAATTTTGTTCATTTTTAGTCATTCGAATAAATAATTATTAAGAATTTGTATGTGTGAAATTGTTACAATTTTTTTCCTATACGATGACACCATATAACAGCATATATACATATGCGTTATTACATGCATGTATATATATCATACATATAAATATATATATTATATATATATATATATATATATATATATATATA